TCTGTTGGCTGCTCACCTCCTCCCCAAACTGTCCTGCTAGGTGTAGTAGCCTGGGAGCTGACCTTGCCTGTGAAGCCTGAGGTGAAAAAGGCATTGAGCACTTCAGCCTTTTCTGGTCCTCTGTTACTAGGTTGTCTCCTCCATTTAGTAAATGACCCACACTTTCCCTGATTTTCCTCTTGTTGCTGACATACTTGTAGAAACCCTTCTTGTTACCCTTTACATCCCCTGCTAGCTGCAACTCCAGTTGCACTTTGGCTTTCCTGATTTCATCCCTGCATGCCTGAGCAATACTCTTATACTCCTCCCTAGTTGTTTCTCGAAGTTTTCCACTTATATGCTTCTTTTTTTAATTTATTTAGTTTACTGAAGAGTTCCCTGACAAGCGACCCTGGTCTTCTGCCATACTTGCTAGTCTTTCTGCACATTGGGGTGGTTTGTTCCTGCACCCTCAGTAAGGTTTCTTTAAATTACAGACAGTTCTGGACTTGTCTTCTCCTCAGACTGATCTCCCAAGGGATCTTGCCCATGAGTTCCTTGAGTGAATCTAAGTATGCTTTTTTGAAGTCCAAGGTCCTTACTCTGTGCTCTTCTTCTTTCCTTCCTTCCTCCAGATCCTGAGCTCAGTCATCTCGTGATCACAGCTGCCCAAGTTGCTATTCACTACTGCCCCACCAATTCTTCCCTGTTTGCAAGTAGCAGGTCAAGAAGAGCATTGCCCCTAGTTGGCTGTTATAGCACTTGCACCAAGAAGTTGTTCCCAACACTCTCCAAACACTTCCTGACTTTCAACAGGCCTATCTCCCAGTTTCATACTGGGGGACTGAGCAGTCATACAGCTCTTTTACATAAAGAGCAACTCCTCTTCCTCTTCTTCCTTGCCTGTCCTACCTGAACAGTTTAAATCTATACATGACAGAGCTCCAGTCATATGAGCTATCCCACCGAGTATCTGTTATTCCAGTCACATCACACTTCCATGACTGTGAGGACTTCCAGCTCTTCTTGCTTGTTTCCCAGGCTTCGTGCATTCATGTACAAGCACCTGAGGTAACTAACCAATTGTCCTGATCTCTCAGGAAGAATGAGAACACCTGCCCTGTTACCATCTCCTGCTTTCATTTCTTCCAGGTCACCCTTCCCCACTCATCACAGGGCTTTGATCTCCATCCCCCAATGAATCTAGTTTAAAGCCCTCCTCACTAGGTTAGCAAGCCTGTCTGTGGAGATGTTCTCCCCTCTCTTCATCAGGTAGATTCCATCTTTTCCTAGTAATTCTTCTTGGAATGTCATCCCATGATCAAAGAAGCCAAAGCCCTGCTGGTGATACCATCTGCACAGCCATGCATTGATCAGCAGGATGCACCCATTCCTGTTCGGGCCCTTTCCCTTGACTGGAAGGATAGAGGAGCCCCCATCTCCTTCACCCTTGCATTTAGAGCCCTGTAGTCACTTTTGATCTGCTTAGGGTCTCCCAGGGCACCATGATTAGTGCCCACATGAATGGGCAGTGTGGGGTAGTAGTCAGAGGGCTGGATGAGTCTTGCAAATGCAGTGATAACCAGTTAGCTTACTGGTTATCCTTTAGCTCAGGGTGATGAGTGCACTACATGCACTAAATCTAAGTGCTACAAATTATGAATCAAATCCTAAATCTGAGCACAGCCTTAGTGACCTCTTTGTGTTCTGCAAGTTCTCTTGAATGCTGCAGAGTTCCAGATTGTGCAGACACAGAATCCTTGCAAATTCATGCAGGATCTAGTAGGGATGTGAAAGGTTAAGTGATTAATCATTTAACCAATAAACGCAGTGATAACCAGTTAGCTTACCAGTTATCCTTTAACTCAGGGCAGGAGCAGTCTGGCAGAGAAGTGGGGAAGGGAAGC